TTCTTTTTTTTTTTAAATAACGCTTTTCATCAGAGTATTTTTTTAACATCTACCACACATACATATATATATATATATATATCAATTATATATATATATATATCAATCAGTACAGTTGCAATTTTTGGTTTTATTAAAATTATTACTAAGGATTTATTTAAATAAATTTATTTTATCTCTTCTAATTTTTTATATTTAAATTTTCTGGACGCTACTATGTATTAAATATGTATAGTTGAAAATGTACAAATACGACTTGTTTTAACTTATTTAGGGTCTTAGATTCACCAATATATATATATATATATATATATATATATATAAAATATACTGTGGGAATTCAAAATGTATGGATAAAATTTATAAAAGTTTATAAGATTTGAAATAATTAATGTATTTTTAAACATAGATTCAAAATTACGAGACCTAAGGGAGTAAAACAAAAGTATAAGATTTAAATAAAAGAAATGTAAATTAATAAAAAATTAATTTGTTAGTTGTTAATTAGTTGTAACTTTATGTTTTCATATATTAACACTTGATAAACTACCATTCGAATGGTATATGTTTGTATTAGTTGTATGATTCGTTTATTAATTTAATTGAAACCTTATCGAAATTAAGTTCTACAATTAAATTAGTGCATATATTACTGTACCTAAATGTATGTTGACATTAAAGAGAGAAGAGACTATAGAACATGTAAAAAGGAAAAATCCAGTAACATATAGAAAGAGACTCTAGAAAAGTATAAGAGTTTAAAATGAAATTGTTCTATAAAAGTGATATTCACATACTCTTTTAAAAATAATGTGAAATTCATTAAAAAAAATTTAAAGGATAATATATCAAATTTGAACACTTTTAAATTTAAACCCTCAAACTTGTTTCGAGTTGTAAATTTTGTTACTTAAGTATCACTTCAAAATCATTCATATATCACCACCTATCCAAATTTTTATAGAAAAACAATTCAAATAAAAAGTTAACATCGTAAGCACGATTTTGATAATGCAAAGGCAAGTCCAGAAACAGAAACATACGTGAAGTCATGGATGCTGGTCTAAGTAGTAATTACCACCAGTTTATTTTAGATTTTAAGAAAAATAATTTTAAATTATTAAATATACTTAAGATGAGATTAAATTGATCTCAATATTGATTATGTTTGGATAAGTTTCTTCCTAAAAGCTTTTAAATAAGAAAAAAACTACAAAAAATTGTTCACATAGTTTTATTAAAGTTCATTATTTTTACTTTTATTTAAATTAGTTATAAAAAAATATTTGTTCCTTTTATTATTTTATCCTAAAAACAGTTATAAAAAAGCCCGTCTAAATATGCCTTTAATATGTGTCAGATACGAGTATAGATTTTCTATAAAAAAAAAAAACGTGTATGTTATTAAAATTGAATTTCAATAGAGCAGAGGAACTCTATATCCATGAAAAGAAAACTTGTTGCCAAGTGACATAACAAGAAACATTGAATCACACCGCAGTATTTACATTTGAACTTCACCGGCATGAGAGAGAAAGGATGGGGACACAACACAACAGGTAAAACTATTAAAAAGACTAGTAAAACCCGATATATCCCTCGCCGCAAAAACTACTGAAACTACACTACGAGACCATCTTTTGTGACATTCTCCTTCTAATATCCAAGATGGCCTGGTATCTTCTTTGGGATAAATCATTCATTGCCTCTTGATACTTCTGTTCAATCATTTGTAACTCTAATTTCAACTCACCCTCAGCTTCAGACGAGGAGGAAGCGATGTTCAGAATATTGGAGAAGCCTTTCATGTCCAAAAACTTGCTCTTACGATCATACGATGCCCCAATTTCAGATGTAGGCGAGGATTGACTCCCTCCATCAAATTCTGATTTAGCAGACATAAATGAAACCGTGGAAAACTTATTATCATTGAAATCAGTTGTTGCAGATGCATACGTCTTCTCAGAGCATAGATCATCAGCCTTGGTTGCTTTCTGAAGACCACTGCACTCGTCAGATAAAGCCCCATCGATATCCATATTATCAAGGTTTCCTTTTGTAGCTAATATTGCAGAGGAGGTAGAGGGACCAAAATCTTCAGTCGAATATTTTGAGCTACCTGTGCATTTTGCTAACTCAAATTCTCCCTGTTGGCTCACAAGAGTTTGTTTATTACTAGGAGAAAACAAGTGATCAATTGCTACACAAGGTTTCCAATCAGCAATCAGATTCATCAATAACAAATCTATTAACTAAGCTATGAATTTAACATTCTGATCAGCAAGCTCAAGTTGCTCAACCATTTCGCTTGAAACTGAGACAGCAGTGTCACTGTCAAGGTAGAAAACGAAATGGATATTTCTTGCTCGCCCTGCATATAAAAACCAAAGCATATAACTTTTCACCAACAAATTTAAAAACAGTTGCTACAGAGTAGAAACGAGTTATAAGTTATGTACTGACCTCCTTGATCAGCTATCCGCAGAACCAATGATACAGAGTTCTTATCATTTTCTTCACCTTTTAGGAAGAAAATATCACCTCTCTTCTGCCTTCTTATCTCAACACTTGTAGAACGTGATGCATCATTAGTGGATTTATCATATATAGTGATCGCTGGAAGCTCACAGGTCTCACCAAGATCCATTGAAATGTCTCCATTACGAGCACTAGAAGGACCTTCTGACACCATACAACGACTTTCAGCGGCTCCCAATTTGGGAAGAACAATATGCGGCAATGGAGAAGGACCCTTCTTTGTTGAAGCATTCATTTGAAGAAATGGGTCCATCAGAAGCTCCTTGGCTGACAATCTTTGAGATGCCGGGACTAGACATTTCTCAATAAATGATTTCATTTCTGGATCTTTCACTTTAGAAAGCGCAGCAGGTTTTATACCCTGCAAAATCAAATATTGTGTGACCCAATAATCTTAGTCATGGCCTGCGGAAAAAAACAAAAGAAACTTGTTAATTATGAGATACTCACGGATGAAACTTTCTTGTATATCTGAGCCGAGTTTCTGCATTCACTGTAAGGATACTCGGACGTCACCAACTCAAGCATGCACATGCCAAACGAATATATGTCAGCTAATTCATTGTAATTTTCATCATACAGCTCTGGTGCCATAAACTCCGGGGTTCCTACCAGGATTAGGTAGGTTTAAACAGAACAAGTATATCAATCAAACAGCGTTGGGACAAAGAATCAAAATCTATTACTATTGCTATAACTGAGATGAGAAAATGATTAAAATTGTGTTAACTTTGAACTCAGCAAAAGATCAACACATATATATATATATATGAAAGAACAAGAAAGCGCAGGGAAACCGAGGAGAATACCAATAACACTCTTGGCATTACTTCGGTTCAAGAAAGTTGCTAGCCCAAGATCTCCAATTTTAACTTCTCCTTGGTGACCATTGATAAATATATTATCACATTTCAGGTCCCTGTGAATAACGGGTGGGTTCTGACCGTGGAGATAGCTTAGACCCATTAAAATTTGTCTTGCCCATCCTTTAACGGCCTTCAAGTCGACCTTCTTGTGTTTTTTACGAAACCTATATCATGCATTGCATCCACTAACGAAAAGGTTGATTTCACAATAAAAAGCACAAGGATTTTAATATTATGCACAAAATGGAAGGTGAACGTACTGTTTGAGGCTACCCGAGGTAAACAACTCCGTAATCATATTAACGGTCCTGCGCTTGTCATCAATCCAGGAATTGTAGAATCTTACTATGTTATGGTGCTTCAGTGATCTCAAGAGGTGTAATTCTGAATATAGCCTATCTAAGTCACCGGGGGATTGCAAAACCTCATCAATCTGAACCTGACTCCACGCAACTTCAATTCCATTGACTCCATCAAATGCCTTGTAACTGATTTATCCACAGTTTTAAGGAAAACATATATAACCAGAAACAATCAAGGTTAACCCCAATCATAAAATTCTTTTTCTTAACCACAAAAAAAATGCACAGCATTATATCGAAGACCTAGACACCTCTGGCAGTAAAAAAATGTTTTAATTTCGGCAGCACAGTAAAAACAGTCCATAATAAAATAAAGCATTGTCTTCTAGTTACAATGCTGCCAATGAATCGAAAGCAAACATGTATATTAAGAAAGTAACGGATACACAGTTTTAAAAGCTCCTCTGCCGATCACTTCTTTGTACTGTTGTGAATGCAAAAGCAGAATTAGCCCGGTGCATTAATATGTAAGTGTAATTTTGTCCCAAAGACAATAAATATAAGCAATGGAAAAACAATCATATTACCTTGACGTAGGTGCAAGTTGGATCAATTTCAACAAAGTCAGGATCAGGAGGCTCCAGATAACCTGCACCATCTTCTGAACTTCCTGTCCCCTCCAAACTCATTTACACGGCACTGCGATCCAAACCTACATTCAATTCGAAATCACGAAATTGAAAACCCAAGCAAACAAATATGAATTAAAAAATTGCACCAGGTCGCAGTCAGGAAATTACGTGAATGTCGGAAGAGAAAAAAATGAATGCAGCCCAGTTTGTCCTTTTTACCTTAAGAGCGGTTACGATAACTTGATCGCCAAACAGAACCCTAAATGAAATAGAAGAATTAGTAAAACAATGGAGATACGAAGTTTGGGGAATGATAAACATGACACTTTTTCTGTATCCAGAAAACACTGCTCTCTATTTATAATTATCCATCTTAATTCTCTTCCTTGTAAATAAATATCTTCGCAGATCACAATCATTGCTTGTTCCTGTCTCCGTCATCTGCATTCTACATCGCCGTCACACTCCATCGTACACTGTCCCTGTCGTTTTCCCATGCTTTCATGGGACTACATATACTACTTATACTACTATATACTGATGCTGATGTGTGTATATATTAATAACTGAAAACATCCTTAATGGGCCTAGCAAATGAAGACCCATTGGCCCAATAAGATGCTGACCACAACATATGAAAAATGTAAACGATGGCGTTTTATGATTTTAGAGTTTTGTTTCAATTGGGTGTGCGAGAATGGAGTTCCTGGACGAGGACGCGAGGCCGAGGTTCGTGTTCCAGTCCGGTGCCGTTGCAAGCACCGAACCACCGCACCCGGACCACAAACCTACCAAGCCGTTCCTCTTCGTCACCATTTCTCTCTCTTCGCTCTTCCTCGCTCTATCTCTCTTCTTCCTCGAATCGGAACCCTTCAAATCGCTCCTATTCTGGCTTGCGCTCTCTCTCCTCATCGGCCCCTTCGCTCCCCCCTCCCTCACCGGCGGCGACGTCCGCGTCGGCCTCGGCGAGGTCGTCAACTTCCCTGATCCGGAGCCGGAAACCGACGACGACGCTAGGAAGCCTCCGCAACGGCGATCCAGACAGCGGAGGCCCGAGGAAGTCGCCGCCATCGGCCCAGTGGTGTCCGTCAGCACCGCGGAGAAGAGAGGGGGAGGCGGCGGAGTGGAGAAGGTTTCGACGGTGGTGGAGGAGAAGGATTGGAACGAGGAGGATGTGGAGGTGCTGAAGAAGCAGCTGGTGAAGAATCCGGTGGGGAAGCCAGGGCGGTGGGAGGCGATAGCGGCGGCGTTCGGCGGAAGGCACGGTGTGGAGAGTGTGATAAAGACGGCAAAGGAGTTGGGGGAGAAGAAAGTGGATGATTCGGATTCTTATGCATTGTTCTTGAAAAATAGGAAGGCATTGGATAAGAGGGTTGTGGAGGAGAATGGGGGTGAGGACTCGGTGACGGTGGATAAAGTTGTTGAGAATGGTTGGAGTTCTGGCGAAGATATCGCGTTGTTGAATGCATTGAAAGTGTTCCCTAAGGATGTTTCAATGAGGTGGGAGAAGGTTGCTGCGGCGGTTCCCGGGAGATCCAAAGCTGCTTGCATGAGAAGATTTACTGAATTGAAGAAAGGGTTTCGGAATGCAAAAGCTGCAGCCGAGTGAACACTGTTCTCCCCAGGATCATTTTTTTGTTTGTTTAATTTTGTTATGATTTATATTGTTTTTGGCTTTGATGAGGCATTATTTGCACCTTCCTATGGGTAATACTCATCCTATGAGTAATACATAAATTCTGTTCGTGTAACTCTATGAAATGCATTGATCTGAACAACATATGTATTTGGAATCTCTTATAGTGAAAAATAGATATTTGATATTGACTCTTTGAACTTGGAACTTAGCTGGTTTTCTTGTTGATTTAGCTTTTCAATTACATGTGTTTTGCTTGGGGAAGCAGAGTTGTACTTGTACCCCATCTCTGAGGTATTTCTCTTTGTTCATTTATGTTGACTGGTTTGCATGTTAGGATCCAGGTTTCTCATAGGCTAATCATTTTCATAGTTTAGTTTGTGGAACTTTGATTAAACACTTTCTGCTACATAGAGGTTTTGAATCTTTTATTACTTTTGGAAACTGGGCATGTTTGCTTCTTTGTCATTATGCATTGGGCATTGACCTGTTACTTGTGCAAATAGTTTCAAATATTGCTAATTCCTGAGAAAGTTATGTTGGTTTGGTAAGATGAAAAGCTTGGAGATTTGATGGTAGTCTTTTTTGATAGCTGGTGTGTTTCTCGTAGAAAATTACACTAACCTCCCATGCTTTGTATTTGGAACCATTTGTAATGTTTTGTAAATAAAAGTGTGGTAGATGTATGAAATTCATTTGTCTAAATAGTCATTGTTAATGACTACAAACAATATATAAAATAAGGGATGAGTTCAAGCACTACTCTGAAAATTGTTCAGTGTACTATCCTTCTACATTACTATTAATTCATACTTCTTTTATTAAAGTCCATGAATTGAACTGTTCAATTCAGATCTTAATTTTAGTCAACCAAAATAACAATTGTCATTTAAAGCCCGATCTGATTTAGCATATTACTTCTGACCGACAGCTTGTGATTCAAATAAACTTTTTAATGTGATTATTAGTCTGTTGTATATTGATTCAATTTATTTTGTACAAGTTTCTTAATACATCTTACAAAAAATTGAGGATAGAAATAAACAATAGGAATGGAAAAAATCGTGATTATTGACATATTTTTATGAAAACATTTTAGCAAGAATAATATTTATCTTCTTTGACAACCCAAATCTAATGTGAGGTGGAGGGAAGTGGCAATATTCTTTTGCTGCATAATACAACAGATATGACATGCCCCCAGATACTAAATCGATTGTTATCCAATGTGACATTTTGAACCCTTGAGATGGAATTTATTATCAAACATGAACTTGAAGGCAATCTCTAGGTGGAAAGTGTGATCTTTCAAGGTGGAGCTATAAACAAGTATATCGTCAAAGAACACGATGATAAAATGGTGTAGGTGATGGGAGAAAAGGTCATTCACAGTGGCCTGGAAGGTTAATGGGGGTGTTGCACAAATTAAAGAGCATCACCTTGAATTCAAAATGACCATTATGGGTGCAAAAAGCCGTTTTTGAGGAGTCATTAGGCCTTACGAGGATTTGGTGGAAGCTCGAAAAGAGATCATGCTTAGAAAACCACGATGTTATGCCCAACTCATATAAGAGCTCATCGATGGTGGTGGAAATTGGAAATTTGTCCTTGATGGTATCGACATTGAGTATGTGGTGATCAACACAAAATTGTCATATTGTGTCTTTCTTTTTTACAAGCAACATCGAAGAGAAATATTGACTTGTGCTTGGGATAATGAATAACGAATCTATCATTTTCTATACCTATTACTCAATCTCTTGTTTCTAGAAGTGGGGATATCTGTATGACCGAACCGAGATGGGTGAAGTGTTTGGAAGTAAGGTGATTGAATTATCAATGTATCTAGATGGTGGAAAGGTGGACGGGGTAGTGAAAAGGAATGAGTAAGCTAAGATTAGTGTCTATAATTGTGAAATAAAAGTAGATGGAAGTAGAGATGTATCAGAAGAAGGTGTAGTAGAAATGGAGGCAAGGGGTTGGTTCGAGAGTGAGTTGGAAAAGGACTTCCACCCTATTGGTATGTTGCAGGCGTTTTAATTTATGGGTTGTTATAGGGGGTGGGATTCGGCCCATGATCACCTTTAAGTTCCACCATCCTGTTGTTCCACATAAATCTCATAAAGGACTCATTGTAATCCATAATGAAAGGTCAGTCATTGAACACCAAGGACAATATTAATACCAGAGAGGTCCAAGGGGTAGAGGTTAATTAGAAAATTAAAGACAACAATAGTGATTTGCTCCTTGAGGTAGAATGTGGGCTCCAGAAGTAGGGCCATGTTAAGGAATTGGGTCACCTTAGCTTCGATAAAATTATGTGTAGCATCATTATCAACAATGATTCGAACCTCATAGCTATTTATGGACCCGATAATTTTGAAGGTTCTCAGGATCATTGATCCGAGAAGGAATGAAGGATAATTAGACCCGCTTCCAAAGGTGGATTATCCAGTGGGTTAGGATGAGGATTTGGGGAAGGTTCAGTTAGTCGGGACAAGTAGAAGGAATTGAGTCTTACATCGATGACCACATATGTATCGTTCATTATAGTTATAACACAGGTTTATGTCACAACGAGCTTGAATTACAGTAAAAGGTACCTATTTTTTAAATTATTCTTTTACAAGAAAATTACCATATTTTTTACATAAAAAATTATTGTGAATATTTTTATAGAAAGTTTTGAAAAAGAAGTTTTACGAATTTTTAAATTTTACAATAACTAATCGTCTACAAAGAAATTATCTATTAAATCAAAATTTATAGAAAAAAATACTGAAAATTTCCGCAAAATATGAAATGTACTTAACAAGTATAACATCTCCAACGTAAAAATTGAAAAAAAAAAACGAATCTAATTGACTTTTTGACTGGAATAACCCTTGGGTACCCATATTGAAGCCACAGTCAAAGGCCGTGACTTCCAACACAAGGCCAACCTACCCTTCTCGAATTGGACCCAATACCCTCCACCAAAGAGGCTCACCAAGAACTTAGCCTGTGAAATATTACAACTACTCATAGGAACACATTTAAACCCTTTCAATGAATAAAACCCTTCTTCCCAAACCTTTCTCTCATTTCTCTCACAAGGAAACTGCCTCACACTGTCCAATATTCTGAGCCCCAAAGTCTCTTTCTCTATCAGCCTCGACGCCATCTTGTGGCTACCCCACACACTACTACCAAGTGAATCACAAACTGCACTGTAGTGATGCAAAGCCTCGCAGAAGAACTCCACAAAGGACATTGATTTCAGCCTTGAAAAATTAAACAGTTCTTCTTCCACCAAAACCACAAGCCTCGGCCACAGTTTCGTCACACCATCCAAAAACGTTTTCACCAGTGAGAAGCTCCTGTTAGGCATCCACTGGTCTATCATACAGTTCACTATCACTGTTTCACCAACTTCAATTCCTTCAATATCTTCTTCTCTTTCCATCATCGTTTGATCAAACGTAAATGGAAAGTTTATAGAAGCTGCAAACTCTTTCAGCCTTCTTCCTGTTTGTTCAGCAGAAGCAGCACCTCTCTGGTCCACTGTGATCGCTGTTACTCTAAGGGAAGTAGTACTGTTTTTCCTCATTGCAAGATCAACCATCAAGGGTGGCCACTGGATTCCCTCCATGATGTCAAAATCAACGATGTGAACATTCTCAACACCTTCTGTGGCTTCTAAGATTGCTTGGTTTGCCGTGAAATGAGCAAATTTCACATATGGAGATAGTTCTTGGAGAATCTGAAACAAACAGAAAGCATCTGTGTGTGTAGAAACAGCACCACGCTGCAACAACAGTTCAGGGGCATTTGTACTTTTATAATACAGACCCTGAGCAAAGAAAAAAGCCAACCTGTTCAACAGACCATCACCCTTTTCTAAAGATGATGCATTGTTGAGTTTCTCAATTATGTATGAAGCAAGGTCCCAGTTTTGTGCTTCAACAGCTTCAGCTCCTGTTAACAGAAGATCAGCTAAACTAGTCTGTTCCATCACCTCTGCTTGGATTCCCTTCAAATAACAATCCCCTTCTTCTTCTTCTTCCATTGAAACATGCACATTTTCCTCAGGGCTAGAACCAAATCCATCACAGAGTTCAATCTCTGGTGAATCATTGTGATTCATGAAACCAAAGTCCTGGTTGTTTGTGTGTTGCAGAAGCAAGCCCTCCATAGACTCTTCACCAAACATTTCATCCATTATGGTATTTGGTGATGATATATCTTCTGTTTGAAATGGGAATGCATTTTCTAAGCAACACTCATGGAGTTGGTTCATATAAGGATAGCCAAACGAGAAATCAAATTCCTCATAATCCATCACTAATGATGAAGAAAAAGTTAAGGTAGAACTTGGTAGAAACTAAGTTGGAGTACTCCTATTTATAGACAACCTAATATTGAATGAAAATAACTAAACAACTAGATAGTTTATAAACTCTAATACCTGTTAAGTTGAGAAAACTGCCTTCTAGAAGTAATTAAGGTTGAAAGTTAAAAAAAAAAATCAATAAAAATGATAATTAAAGATTAAAAATCCATTTTTTTTAAGAATGTGTTTTTAATAATTAAAATTTACCAATGACCATGAAATTTGATATGATAAACCATATTTTTTAATGATTCTTATTTATGATTTTAATTAATAAAGAAACATGTTAATAAAATATTAAATAATGTCTACTGTCACAAATATTTAAACAGTTTAGTACTATTATTATTAGTATGGTGTCCCTTTATTATTGGTTCCGTACTAGTGACGAGATTGTTTTAATTGTGGTGACGATTTGACCAAAGTAAACTTTTGTTTTTGTCTATTTCAATTTCAGTTATTAAATTTAATAAAAACAATAATGTGTTTTTAATCTTTCATTAAAGAAAAAAAGACAATTCGAATCTTTCTAATGACTATAAGTAAATAAATAGATTTAAATAAAATTATATTGTGTGGCCCTGCGTGTCAATTTTTAACCTTTATACTAGGACTTCTTTTAATTTGTATATATTAAAAAAAATTAAGAGAAATTAAAATAACATGTATTAGAACTAAAATTAATTATAAGGATTAAAATAGATTATTTTAACTTTAAAGATTATAAATTAAAATTTGTATTATATCATATATTAAATAAGTAACTAAGTCTGAAGAGAAAAATCTTCAATAAGAGTTCAAGAAGTCATTGTCAGTCTTATTAA